CCCCCCTCAGTCATTGGTTATTTATTTATTTAAAACTTTGTTATGCCATCCCTTATGCTTTGGCATTTTGGGATGGCTTACAATCCATAAAATTGAAATACAATAAAATCAGAAGTATAAATAACATAATTCAATAGAAATTTACATACTATAGGACGATAAACTATAAACTCCGCTACCCCCTCCCCTCTTTCCCTTCCTGTCCTTCCTAAACAGGGCATACCCCTCTATGTTGACATTCCAATCCTGCTTATCATCCCACCATGTTTCTGTGGTCCTCATCAAGTAGTATCCTCTCATTCCCAGGCAATCCTCAAGCTCTTCCTGCTTGTTTCCCATGCTTCTAGTGTTGGTGTACATACATCCCAGCAATTTCCCATGAAACCCATTCCCTAGCTCCTCCAGGCTCTTCTTCCTCCCTTCCTTCCTGGCATAGCAGCAACCCTCAGTGCATTAGCCATGCCAGCTCCTGCAGTCCCTACATCGCCCTGCTCCTGAGACCCTGATCTTGTTTCTTCACCTGACTGATTTTGAGTGGTTTCTGTGGATTCCAGACTCAACCACCCCAGGATCAGCTTAAAGTCCTCCAGGTCAAGCTTGCTAGAGCATTCTCTGAGGTTCTTTCCCCCATCTTGGTGAATACCTTGCCAGTAGTCCCTCAGTGAGGAACCAGTTGCTGTGGTCGAGGAATCTGAAGCATTCCTTCCAACACCTTGCCCTCAACCACTCATTTGTCTCTGCAACCCTCCTCTCCCTGGTTGGACCATGTTCACAAGAGCAAGGAAAAAAGCCATCTAAATCTTCAGTCCCTTGAGTCTCTTGCCCAAATCCTTGAAGTCCTGGTTGATCCCACCCAGCTCCTGCCTCATTGTCAGGGAATCCTCCTTAGTAAGGATTCCCTGACAATGTTAACTTGCTTTCCTCTTCACCTGATAAAGATAGGGGCTGTGTCTCAGCAGTCACCTCTCTGGCAGCAGCCACCAAGCCACATCTGACCCTGGGCTGGACTTCCCAAGCAGGCTGGACACCCAGGGGACCTGCAGCCTTAGCCTGCTCAAGCAGAGAAAAACAATTTCTCAGCCTCAGTTCAGCACCACATGATGGAGGGGGTGGTGCCAGCATCCTGCAGGTAACACTCCCCATGTCTCCCCACGTGGTTTCTCAGTGGCCCCTCCACTTCTTGCTGTCTGGAAAGGGGCCATTCTGGTTGGCCTGGAGGACCTCCTGGGCAATGTCGAGGAACTGGTCCTCCTCCCTTATCTCCTGGAGGAACATGAGGGCATCCTCTAGACCCTTTACCTTCTCCCTAAGGAAGGACATCAAATTGCACTTAGTGCAAGCATATCCTGGCTCCTCCTGGGGGAAGTAGACAAACATGGCACAGGTGTCGCAGGTAACTGCAACACCTGCCATGTCCTTCTCCTGGTCTGGCATAGGCCACCCCTCAGTGATTCTTATATCTGCTTCCCCTGAACACCTGCCCTATTTTTATGCAGCATTCGTATGCTGGCTATCTTTTTATTGTTAGTATCATTCCTCTTTTCTGTTCCACTCTTTTTTCTGTTGCTGTATTTTTAAATGAAAGATGAGATCAGCCTTGGATAGATTCCAGGCACTTGTTCTGTTCAAAATGCATGCAAATCATTAAAGTTCATATAAAAGGAAAATGAAGTATAGATTATTCACAATCATAAATTGAGCCTAAAGCACCTCATGACCCAATAGGATCTATATATTCTGTGCTTTGGCTCTTAATATGGAAAAGTGAGGAGGAAATTTTTCCCTTGTGTACACAAATGTCTGTGGGGCTCCTTCATTCCACATTTATATCAAACTCTTTTTGTCCCCTCTAGAGCATAGAACTTCCTATTGATTGTGGCTGAACTGCTGTTTGAAATCATACCACATGTATATGGGTGTTTTGAGTACTTTTTACACCTGCACATTTCAGAATATGATTTATCTCTTGCTGTCTTTTCATAGACTTAAAGCAGTCATGTATGAGAAAAGACAATAAAATTTTCTTGCAACATCAAAGTTTGTGATTTAGGATAACAGCCTTTCTCTGTTGTCCTGCAGTGATGGTTGGCTCTTGAATGCTTATGAGCCACAGAAATGTTTATTTACAAGATTATGCTGTCATTGCATTAACTTTACTATTTTGACCAACTGTGCTGATTTAACAACCAAGAGTTGTACCAGAGTTTATATTTACATTCTGAGTTTTCTGCTTTATTAAGCATGTTTTTACATTGCTGGAGTTAGAAGTTCAAGTTAGTTTTGACTTAGCAATATATACACATATGTGTATATATATATATGAGAAAAACAATGCATTCTCATACAAAGATCCAGACAGATAAAAGAAGGACTAATTCAAAAGAAGAAAAACATGCTATGACTTGTACTCCTTATACTAGGATATACTAGCTTATCCCATATTCCTTGAGCATGGGTGAAGAAATGATGGTTCTCCAGATACTGTTGAATCGTACACCCCATTAGCCTAGCCAGGATAGCCAGTGGTGATGAATGATGGAATTTCCTTTGAAATCTAATTAGATCCCTTAGGTGGTCCAACATGATGCAGTCAGACTGTTAACTGGGACTGGTTACAGGGAACACAGCTTTATTGGCTACTGCTCTATAAAGGCATATGGCTTGGAAGCAGGCTACCTGAAAGGTTGCCTTCTTCCATATGGTCCTGCCAGTCCCTAAGATCTTCTGAAGGGTTTTTTCTTTCAAGACCACTGCATTCAGAGGTTGCTTCTTGGTGATGCACCTGCTTCCGAGCTCTGGAACTCTGCCCTAAAGGAAGCCAGGAATTCTCCCTCTTGGCTGTCCCTCTGACAGCAGGCAAGGAGTGCTGTATTCAGAAAGGATGTCGGACTATGGACCTGATGCATTTCCACCTCCAAACCACCACTGCGTTATGAAACAATTCTGCTTGTGAAACTTATCTCAAAACACTTGCTCAATTCTGAGACCATTAGTATCTGTAATTGACCATTAATACCTGTTATTTACCTGTTTTTTTAATATAATAACAACCCACTTTTTAAAAAAATTGTGAGCTGTCAAGAATGAGGCTGCAAGTGGGAGTGGCAGAACAACACAGTAATTTTGGTTGTCTGGCCTTCATCTAGATAGACCTCAAGCTTATTTCTCTCCCCAAAAATCAGACAAAGAACCCATAGTTTTTCAAGGTTTGTTTTTCTGGCTTGCTGAGGGAAAAAGCAACCCAAATATTCATATTTAGATGCAACTCTAAACAACCCAAGAACATAACAATTAGGCAGCATTTACCAAAGTTTTAAAATTCTGGGGTAAACAATTGTAAACTGTGGTAACCATTCAGGGTTGCTTTGCTGTGACATGTGAATCCAACCAATGTTTAGAGGGCCATGAGATTTTTCAGAATCTCGGCTCCAATGTTGGAAGACAACTCTAACATAGGAGCTAGGGCTCTGCACTTGGAGTACCCTCCTCTTGTACAGCCAGAGCAGAAAGAACCATGCCAGCTGTTTCCCCAAGGTTAGATAAGCGACCTTGGAGAAAAGATTTAGGGGGCTGGGAAGGGAGGAGACCCGCACTACCAAGATATGAGGTATTCTGGTGGTTCCTCAACCACCTTCACTCCACCCTAGAAGGGCTGCAGTTAACTAAACTCAGCCTTCCAGCTGCTCTGCACAGTGACCTTTTTATGTACAATCTTAGCTTGCAAAACATTCCTTCAAGTTTGGAGGGTTTATTTATTGCATTACTGTGCTGCTTTTCTGGGACTGTGTTTTCTCAATCAGAAACTTCCAAGCAAGTAGAAGAAGGTCTAATCTTACCTCTGACCATTTCTTGACCAAGTATTATACTCCCTTTCTGAAACAGTTTCCAAAATTAAGAAAGCAAAACTGATAAAATTATTGCTATAGTAATTTTAAAACATGCTTAGTATGTACTTAGTACTAATAATAATTTAGTATTATTCAGAACAAGACTTCCAGTCTTTTTTAACATGCCCTTATTCTCCCCAAGATTTGACCTTTCGTAGCATTTAAAAATTACATTTCTATTAGTCATGCTAATGAAAAAGAAGACAAAACCATACCAAACTGGAAATGAAATAAACTGCCACCACTCTTTATCTCTCTTCCCAGTTCTGATAATGAAGTAATGATTTGGGAAACTCTGACATAATGGATTTTGGACTCATGTAGTTATGATGTTATTATAATAAATATGGAAATTAGTTGAAAGATACATCAGTCTTCACATTTAAACAAAGATGGAAAATAACCCCCAAATGTAATCATTTATACAATACTTAGAGTGAGTGTCTGCATATTACCATATTATACTGTGCCTTCTTGTGCAATCGTTTCATACAAGCCTTTGTGTCTTCATGCCCTATCACTCTGCTGTTGTGAGTGCTGCCCATCCAGTCGCCTTGTAGAATGTTTAGTTTCAAGTGTTTCTGAATTTAAATACCACAAAATCAAGATGGATGTGGTAATGTGGCAATCATGCAAGAGCAAGTTCAAAGTAATTTACATAAACTGGGGTCTTAAGTTGTTAATGCCATTCGGTGTAGGAAGTTCAGAAGTGTGATTGAAGGTAGTTTGGTTTGCCTAGCCTGTTTCTATACTATTGTATGGCTCTATGCCAACAGCTTTTCATAATGCTTTGCTGCCCTCATTTTAGTATCTTCTATTTTCTAAGTGCATTACCTCATATTCTGGTTGTAAGCCAGGTGTATCCTGTTGGAGAGAGGGGGGAAAATCTGGGAGAGAGAAATGTTTTACTTCCTATCGATTCATCTATACTTTTTCATTATAAAAAATTGCACTGTTTAAAAAAACTCAATAGCCTTCAGTAGCGTATGATAGAGATTATCAAGACAGGCAGTTCATTTTAATGGCTAGAAAACTTTAATTCCAAGTTAACTTACTGAATGGGAAACAAACTATGAAATAGCTCTGATGCTTTTTTCCTCTCCCATCCTGCAGCCTGGGTACATGGTGACCCCAGAAAAGTGGCTTATCCAACTGACAGCTTTGGGCAGTTTTGCGGTCAAAAGGACACACCTAATGAGTGAGTACTGAAACTATCATTTGACTTCACCTTTTATGGCATATGGATCAGAAATGAAGCATTAGCTCCCTGTCTCCTAGAAGCCTTGTTGGAAAGCTGAATAAACACCCTGCATGGCATCATTGCATTCCTTTATGCTGATTCCAGTTAAGATTTATAAAATACTGAACAAATGAAGCAAAATATTTTACAACCGAAAGACAGTACATGTTTCACTAAAATATGATTATATCATGAATCCAAGTACATGTTTCCCTACATGTTTTGAGCATACAAAATAGCACCACTGAATTATGGAACTGATATGGGCACATTGAATCGACAGCTATGGTGTAGTGGAGCCAGGACCCCTAGGGTCATAGCTAGGGATGTGTGAGGAGTCTGCCTAGGGGTAAGAATCCATTGAATTCCCTGGGCTCAGCTCTCTAGCCTTTGTCCACCAGTTTTCACTGGGTTCTCACAAGTAATTGAGCCCTATGCACTGTGCAAGCAGTGCCTCTCTCATGTTCCAGGAGAAGCTGTTCAAGCAGTTACTGCTTCTGGCACTGAAGAAGGTTGGTTATGAGGGGCTTGCCGAGCAAGTAGCCCCACCAGCCACTAGCAGTGCCCTATCATGCACCAGAAACAGCTGCTCAAATGGCAGATTGCCCTGGCACTGAAGAATGCTGGTCATGGGACTCTTGGTCACAAGAGGTTCACCAAGAAAGCTGCCCCCCCCCCCCCAACCACTGCACAAGTGGCATCTCTCTTCTATGCCAGATGCACCTCCCTTTTGGGCTTCTGCAGCTGATGTGGAAGAAGGTTGCTGGTTGCACAACTGGGGCCCCATGAATGTTTGCAGACTTCTGCTCTGCTCAGCAAACTTTGGAGAACTGGGCCAAGCACAAGAGAAGGCATGCAAATGTTTGGAGGTACAGATTCTGACAGGGTTCATCTCTAATTGTAATGCCAGCATTGTTTTGTAAGCAGGGATGCTGACTTTATCAGTTGCTCCACTCCTCAAAATTTCCTGTTCTTTCAAAGTTTAACTACTCTACTAATCCTCAGAGCAGTTTGAGAGGAAATTAATTTTCCACACACACCCTTTCCCCACCTTCTTGCAGCCAACATGGAAAGAACTGCAGCAACTGAACTCCAGTCAGGAAAGCAGTCTTGGCGTTCAATAGAAGGGGGTGTTTTGGGGAAGGAGATGGGTGGAGAATGGGAAGGCCAGGATCTCAGATATCCTGGGACCTCTGCAGCCTTCTTTCCTTCATTTCCACAATGTCATTGGTAGAAAGCCAAAGTGGCCACCTAGTGAAAATGAAGAGTGGGGGGAGCTGGGAAGTAATTATAACTTCAGCCACTCATCCCACTCTGTACAGCATGAACTTGAGCCTCAAAGTTGGAATTAAGATTGCTGGGAGAAATATCAACAACCTCAGATACACAGACAATACCACTCTAATGGAAGAAAGTGAAGAGCCTCTTGATGCAGATGAAATAGGAGAGCACAAATGTTGGCTTGAAACTCAGCATTAAAAAAACTAAGATCCAGTCCTATCGCTTCCTGGCAAATATGTTGTAAGCCGCCCCGAGGCTTCGGCGAATGGGGCGGCATAAAAATGTTTTAATAAATAAATAAATAAATAAATAAATAGATGGGGAAGAAATGGAGATAGTGACAGATTTTATTTTCTTGGGCTCCAAGATCACCACAGATGGTGATTGAGGCCCAGAAATTAAGACACTTGCTCCTTAGGAGGAAAGCTATGGCAAATCTAGAAAGCATACTGAAAAGCAGAGACATCACCCTGCCCAACAAAAGTTTGTATAGTCAAAGCTATGGTTTTTCCCAGTTGCAATGTATGGCTGTGAAAGTTAGACCATAAGGAAGGCTGAGCGTCGAAGAATTGAGGCCTTTGAATTGTGGTGCTGGAGGAGTCTCCTGAGATTCCCTTGGACTGCAAAGAGATCAAACCAGTCAACTTAAAAGAAATCAACCCTGACTGCTCTAGAAGGCCAGATACTGAAGATGAAACTCAAATACTTTGGCCACCTAAAAAGAAGGAATAACTCATTGGTGAAGACCCTGAAACTGGAAACGATTGATGGAAAAAGGAGACGGGGATGGATGAGATGACTAGATGGAGTCACTGGGGTAGTGGATGTGAGCTTAAGTGGACTCCGGGGGATGGTGGAGGACAGGAAGGCCTGGAAGAATGTTGTCCATGGGGTCGTGATGGGTTGGGCACAACTCTGCGACTAACAGCAACAGCGTTATTATGAATAAGACACTTAGCCTTGATGACTGCCTGAATTTTGAAGTGGTGTATGAATGAACATTGTGTACATTATGTGTTCATACATTCTGTGTACTAAATATGCATAAGGTGAAATTAATTATTTCTTCCATTTTTCTGTAGGAACAAGACAATTTTGTTTTACTTTAACATTCTGAAATGTGCCAGCCCTATAGTGCTAATAAACCTACAGTGCCCTACAACACAGGTATGTAATAAGCAGTAAAAATACATAAATATCTCTTGGTACGGTCATTTCTAAGCTGAGCAATATTGCAAATATTATTTGCCTTTTGCATGGTGGTGCAGAAAGGAAAAGTAAATGCTGGTGCTGAATGTAAATATGGTATACGCAAATAACTGTATACATCTGTACAAATTCACAAAGGAAATACATATCCAATAATATGGAAAGAAAGTGGCTTATCTGTTTTGGATATGATCCTTGGAAATATTTGGGGAAGGAGAAACAAAATAGAATATTTTGAGTGCTAGGGTGACTTGCTGTGACTATTAGTCATTCTGTGTATATGTTTATGTAGCAGTTGTTGTTTTAAGTATCTTGGAAAAAAAATGATTTGACTGATTTCCAAGGAACTTTTTAGCCAATGTAGTATGTTCATGTCTTTAGAAATTAACAGCATTCTAATAACAATCAATGCTGCTGATTGTTCATATTATTAAAGCCACCCTTTGTCCTAACTAAACACTTCCTAAATGTTGGCTGTCAGTATCACACATCACACTGTAGGAAATAAATAGAATGTTTAGTATAGCCTATAGTAAAATCATAGTGCTATATTATTACCCAAATGGTTTAGTGGATTATGAACTCTGGAGAGCTTCTTAATGACATTAGGACTTTACGCTGCATAATATAAAAGGCCTCAGTTGCAAAGGGCTTCTGCTTATGAGCATTTTGGAAGGGTATCTTTGTGGCAGTCCTTTATGCCATATTAGACACCATTTGAGAGAGTCCTAAAACTCTGAGGGTTCCTTTAGAAGAGGTGTTGTGTTGGAGGCTGCAGCTAGAAGAGGATCTAAATGTGAACACATGTACATGTATTTTAGGATCCTAGCTTTTCCATGTTACTTTGGTAGCTTATAGTATACTACTGAGCCATGTGGTTTGAGATATTGGTTTATTCTATAACCCAATTAACTTTGTATATTTTATTTAAAATTATTTGCACCAATGAATGCCTACTTTATTTAGCAAATTAAAATATTGCCCTGCAGATTATATAACAACCTGGATACTATTATAGGATGGATTCAGACCAGCCACCACAAGTATTTTTGGCCAATTCTCCCTACAGCCCACACTCCTACCTCTCACATAATTCAAGGGACCACTGACCCTACTGGATGGTACTGCAGAAGAAAGGGAGAATCAACAAAAATAATAAAATTATTAGTTTTATTAACACTCTTAGTTCAGTGGGTGCAATTCATGGGTGAAGTGCCGTTCATGGATAGTGTGGTTTGAACCCTATATGAGCAATGAGATAAATGTCTTTAAGAAGAATTAAAGTTTATCCCATAGCTTTTAGGCAAATAGTTATATTACACTACAAGGCCATGTAGGGCAGCAAGTCTAACTTAATTATTTTGGGTATTGGCAAGGTGGATTTGATTTAAATCACGAGTGAATAAGACTAGATGTAAATAATGGTTTTCTACATAAAGACTCATTCTTGCTGGTATAATCAATATTTACAATCAGATGAAGGCATCATTTTTAGAATAACAATTTTTCAGATTAGTTTTATTGCTATATCAAAATTACTGATTTGGTTATACTATTAGAAACACATCATCCATAGATAATTTTGAAATTATTGTGAGATGTTTGCATTTCTCACACATGACTGCCTTACCTGTAGGTTAGCATGTTCATTAAATATTCCCAAACTACATCTCTTCCATTGCCTGTTGCCCTTATAGGTTTTTTTTTCCTTCAAGGAAAGAATAATATGATAAACCTTAGGCTATACACCAGGGTGGATAAAAATCAATGATTTTTTTTTAAAATAAAAATGTATTTTTATTTAAATTGAATTTTTAAATTTAGATGTTTTAGATATAATACTTTTTGAGGAAAAATCTAAGATACATTATAGTCCAAAGGTTATTCAGCATGTTTTTAATAATGTAACATGAGGCTGTATATTCATGCAATGTTCAGTTTGGTAAAAGAATTCCATTAATCTATTTACAGTGGATTAGTTGCTCTTTCAAAGGTTTTTGTAATATTATTGGGCAATTTTTCTATCTAGAAGGTATTATCACAGACGCTTGATTTTACAGTTCTCAAAACTGTGAATATGTGTCTGCAGAGATCACAAGCCTCTTCTTCGGAGCAAAAATGTTATAAAATAAACATACAGAGTTGAGAAAATGACCTTAATGCCATTGTTGCTTTGCAAATCTATGTACACAGAATCAACCCCTTCTTCAGTGATAAGTTTGAGAAAATTCAATGAACAGAAGAAGATTGTTGGGGATGGAATAGATCTACACAAGAAGCTAAGTGTGAGGAAGGAGGGGCAAGCAGTAAAAATGAAAGTGAAACCTTTTGAGCAGAACAATCCATACGTTTTTGGCTCCATTTTTTTCTGATTGGTTTTTATCCACCTTGGATATTGGTGCATCCAATAGATTCCATAGGAGTTGGAAGAATGAGTGATACCACAGGTACAATCCATGAGCAAAGTTGGTATGAATATAAACTTCAGGTATGATTTGGCAATATTTGAAATGAAGATTAAACCAGCAACATTTCTTAAAATTTGAAAATGAAATTTAATTATGTTTCCTTTAATTTATGGGAGAAGTGCTATATTGAGATGTACTACAGATGTACTATAATCTTGTTAAATGAAACAAATGTGATTTTACTTAGTAATTTTGAGTTATTCTCACTCTGTTTAAAAAACTGGAAGAGGTCTATGGGGGGGAACCTAATTTGATCATTTTAAAAGTAACATTATTTAAATTTACAGCAACACATATTATAAATGACTCTTACATGTGAATTATTCTTGAACATCTAGAGAAAAGCCAGAATAATATATAATTACAGAATAAAAATTATTTAGCATCCCAATATATTGTTGATGTTGCAGGGATTAGAAACTGAACCTGTTCAAAAGGTCATGTGCAGAATTCAAATATATCGTATCTCCTTGCAGTACCATTGAGATGTTGTATTTTATATCCTATGCATCGTAAATATTTATCTTCCGGTACAACAAATATTGGGATCAGAACATAAACCCCAGCAAAATGTATGATGTAATTTTCAATGATGAGTTTAGAAAGAAGTATAACCTAAAAAAGCCTAATCTAGCCTTAATCTATATGAAACCTTAAAGTTTACTTTTAATTTACTCTTGATTGAGCTACTTAATCTGAAAGTGTATTGTACTTGCCCTATGAAAATTATACATCATATCTTTTCAAAAGGCAGAAACACTTGAGTAGTTGCTGTAGTTGGGGAAAAATTCAAACTGCCTTCATCCAGTTGTTTATCTAGAGATGACAACTGAGCAAAGACAGAAAAAATGACTGTGTTTACTTCTAAGTTCTGTGCTAAGCAGGCAATCTGATAAAATTATGCACTCTCAGATTTGACAATTATTTTTGTCTCGCTCCTTTGGTAATATAACTATCTCATCCTCAAGTATAACTTCAGTCAATGTGTATTTTTCTTCTCTTAAAGCTTTGCGTGTCAAAGTGCCCAGACAGGTTTGCAACCTATATAGAAATGCAATCTTCCTACAGAAATTATTGGGAGTACTACAGACAGTTTTGCAAGCCTGGCTTTAATAAGCCACGAAAGGTGAGTATAGATACACAGTAGGGTCTGATCATTAACTTTTCTTATCCAGTGATTAGTACAGTCCTTGAGAGGTTTGTATCTGCATAGCTGTACTGATTTTCTCTCTGCCTCCTTCTGTTACTGGTTACACTAAAACTACTCCTGTACAAATCCTATGTACTCCACAATGTGACCAGCAATGGACAAGAGTTTTTAATTGCTATATTATATAATTAAATGCTGTTTAGATGGGGTTTTTTTGATAGATCATACCTCACTTGGATGCTGTAGCTCTCCCTCTTCACTGGAAGACTCCTCAGTAAAGCAGTGAAAAACTCTATCATTGTCTATCATCTATAGCACTCCCTTTAGGGTGGTGATGGGTCGGGGGAGGTATGGTGCTAGGGGAATAACTGGCCACTGAAGGAGAAGAGAGGTCAGATACCTTATAACTGCTCCCTCTTCTGTTTTTCCCCCCAGCTGAATGGTTCCTGGCTCCCATATTAGCCAGCCCTTGGGCTTGGTGGTGCTATTATTAAATGCCAGGTTGGTTTGAAATGAGACCTCTCTCATTCATGATTTGATCATGGGTGGCAGGAAGGGAGGGGCAACCTGACATGCTTTACCAAGACCTGGGTGAGGGAGGAAGGAGGGGTTGCCCTCTCCCAGCTTTTTTCACCCTGGTACCTAGTGCAGCACCAACCTCATCCAGAGGGCTGGACAGGAGTGTGTGGCCATAGTTTATAAGAATTCTATCTTCCTTTCCAGGTTTGCAGTTCACTCACAAATGGGTTTTGAGTGTTTGTACTTGGTGTTGGGCTCTTGAGACAGATTAGGGATTCTGCTGGTATATTGCCCCAACTTGCTGCCCAACAGTCTCTCCGACTGAGCTGATGGAGGTGGTCTTAGACTTGGGTTGAGGACCTCCAAAATGTTGTTTCTGGGAGACCTGAACATCCACATCAAGTCTGCTTTATCTGGGGTGGCTCAGGACTTCATGGCTGCCATGACAACCATGAGGCTGTCTCAGCATGATATGGGCCCAATGCCCGTAAAGTGACACACTCTTGACCTGGTTTTCTCAATGGGACAGGAGGATGGTGGTCTTGATGTGAAGGGGGTTCACATTAACTCCTTTGTCATGGTCAGATCACTTTCTGGTGAGGTTTACCCTGTTGAACCCTTTTTCCCTTCCCAAGGGTGGTGAATGCATTAGGAAGGTCCACCCCCAGGAACTAATGGATCCAGATGGTTTCCAGAGGACTCTGGGGGAATATCTGGCTGATATGGTACAGAGATTACTCAAGCAGTTGACATGATCATTCCTAAGCACCCTCTCCGCCCTAGCAGAGCCCAGTGAGCTCCCTGATATACATCTGACCTCAGGGCAATGAGGATGTAACCATCAAGGGAGATGGCTAGACCTCAGGTGGAGAAGATGTTACAGCAAGTCCAACTGAGCACAGTTTAGAGCTCACTGTCAAGCTTATTCCACACCAGTATATCTGGCAAAAGGTTGCTATTTTGTTGCCTGCACTGCTTCTTCACAGTGCCACCCAGCAAAGCTTTTCCAAGAGGTTTACAATCCGGACCATCATGTGAGGCTGCTGAACCAGAAGTCATGCTGCAACTGAGGAAGTGGTAAAAATCTCGAACCACTTCCAGATACTTGAGGAAGAGATGCAAGAACAGTCAGCTATGGAGGAACTGATAAATACACTGAGAAACGCTGAAAAAAAGACTGAAGAACAACAAAACATGAAATACTCCAACCAGACCAAAGGACAACAGGATAGGACAAACACAAACCAAGCTTGCAGCAATAATGTATCTAACATAAGAAATTCTACACAAGCTTGCAACAACAAAAAGTGCTAGTTATGGGAGACTCCCTACTGCAAGGGATGGAAAAAATACATATTCTGAGTTATCCTGAGGAAATGCCAGGCATGCTGTCTCCCTGGAACCAAGATCAACACTATAACCAACAGATGCATGCAATTCATATAACCCACTGATAAGTACCCCTCCTTCTCATTCATATGGGACCTTCTTGACCCAGCCAAGAGGAATATTTAGGAAATAGCATCAGACCTCAAAGCTCTAGAGAGGAAAATAGAGAACACTGGGTCCCAGATATTTTTCTCCCAAATCCCACCAGTTGAGGAAGAGGAAATGATAGGGAAAGAAAAGTACTCCAAGTGAATCCCTGGTTATGACAATGGTGCCAGAGAGAGAAATTTGGTTTCTGGGACCACAAACTAAACTTCCTGAATGAAAGACTACTGGCAAACAATGGATTACATCTTTCAAAGTATAGAAAGCATGTCCTTGGCCACAAAATGAAGAAGTTCATTAGAAAGGCTTTCAACTAATCACAAAGGGGAGGGAGACGTGCATCTGGACATAATGACAACTGTGAGTTATGTACCACAGCAGAGAAAAAACCCTCAATTAGGGCCTAATAACAGTATCCCCAAAAATGCAGGAATAAAACCCTGTCACAACCCAAATGGGATGCAGGTGGCACAGTGGTTTAAAATTGCTGTGCTGCTGGGCTGGTTGATCGAAAGGTCGCCGGTTCGAATCTGCACAACGGGGTGAGTCCCCGTTGCACCATCCCAGCTCCGGTCAACCATGCAGTTCAAAAGCATGCAAATGCAAGTAGATTAAAAGGTACCACTTTGGTGGGAAGGTAAACAGCATTCCCTGCAATTTGGTATTTAGTCCTGCCAGCCACATGCCCACGGAAACTGTCTATGGACAAACGCTGGCTCCCTCGGCTAGGAAACAGAGATGAGCACCGACCCCTAGAATCAGACATGACTGGACTTTAATGTCAAGGGGAAACCTTTACCTTTACCTTTGCAACCCAAATGAACTGCAGTGTTTCTACACCAATGCCCACCAATTTCTACAACAAATAACACAAGCACATGGGGGAAACTTTGACCTCATAGCAATAACCAAAACAGACAATTTTCATGAATGGAATTCAAGCATGGATACAACCTCTTCAAGAAAAACAGAAGGGATAAAAAGGGAGGTAGAGTCACACTATACATTAAAAGCATATCTGCAATGAATTACAGGAGGAGGAGCTTAAATAGTCACATCAAGTGCATTTGGGTCAAGTTAAGAGGAGCAAAAACAAAGAAACCAATGACAAAAGAAGCATACTCCTTGGCATCTGTTACAGTCCACTCAACCAAACAGAGGATAAGGACATTAACTTTGAAAAACTAATTGCCAGTGTTGCAAGGCAGCATGATGTCATCATCATGGGGAACTTCAGTTTCTCTTATATTTGCTGGAAGACATAATCAGCCAAACATGGCCCCTCCAGGAGAGTCCTGACGTGTGTCACCAATAACTTCCTTCAACAGAAGGTAAGAGGAAAGGACAAAAGTAACAGCTACACACAACCTAATACTTACCAACAGGGAAGATCTAGTGGACAGAGTAGCTGCTACAGGTTCCCTGAGGCAAAGTGACCATGACTTTCTCAGTTCTCAATTATAAAGATCACAAGACTCAACTGTAGCCAAACACATACCCTAAACTTCAAAAGGGCCTACTTTAAGAAATTCAAATCAATGATAAGTAAAATCACCTATCAACTTACTCTAAAGGGAAAATGTGTCCAGGAGGGAAGGGAAATAAAAAAAAAGAAATTCTCCAAGTACAACAACAACTAATTCCACTACCACCCCAAAAAAGTACAAAAAACAACAGAGGAAGCTGTCATGGCTCCACAAAAATTGAAAGCAAAATAGGACAGGTACAGGAAGTGGAAACAAGGCCAGGCCACAAAGAAGAGTATAAACAGACAGCAAAGACTTTCAGGGATGGAGTCAGGAAGGCTAAAGCAGGTAATGAACTGAGATAGGCGAGACTTGCTAAAAACAACAAGAAAGCCTTCTTCAGTTACATCCAAAACAAAAGACAAATGAAAGAGAAGGGGGTTCAGCATGGACAAAAAAAGCTAACAGATGACAAGGAGAAGGCAAAGGTGCTTCATTCTTACTTTGACTCAGTCTTCTCCCACAAGAGAAAATACAGCCCACCTACAGAGGAGGACGCACAAGATGAATGGGCAGGATGGCAGCCTAAGTTTGACAGATGAATTGTCAAGGAGCACCTTGATGAGATTAATTCATTCAGATCTCAAGTACCTGATGCACTCCATCCTAAGTCATAAAGGAACTGGCAGGAGAACTCTCTGAACTACTATCTATAATATTTAAGAAATTTTGGATAAAAGGATAAAGGAGATGCATCCAGAACAAAACACAAGAGAAAGAGAAGTGTGTCCAGGTACTTAAAGTGGATGGCAGAATGATAACAGGCAACAAGGAAAGGGCAGTGATGCTCAATTCCTACTTCACCTCAGTCTTCCCACAAGAAAATCTACAACCAAGAGGAAGCACAAGCTGAAAGTGAGGGATGACAGCCCAAGATTGACAGACAAATGGTCAAGGAATTCCTAGATGGAATTAACACATTTGAATCTCCAGAGCCTGGTGAACTCTGTCCCAGAGTCATAAAAGAGCTAGTGGAGGAACTCTCAGAACCACTGACTATTAACTTCAATAATCTTGGAAAACAGGAGAAGTGCCAGACAACAGGAAAAGGGCTAATGTTGTCCCTACCTTCAAAAGGGGGGGGGGGGAAGATGAACCTGGGTACTATACCAGTTAGTCTGACATCAATCCCTGGAAAAATTCTGGAGCAAATTATTTAAAAAATCCATCTGCAAGCATCTTGACTAATTTAATCACAATTTTTAAACTGGATAACTTCCCAAATGCACAATGGGAACAATGTGGACATAACCTACCCATACCTTAGCAAAGCTTTTGACATAATGCCACATGACATTCTGATAAGCAAACTAGCAAAAACTGGAGTGGATAGAAAAACTATTAGGTGGATCCAAAATGGGCTGCTAAATTGGACACAAAGAGTGTTCATCCATGGCATCTTCTCAAATTGGATGGAGGTGACTAGTGGGGTGCCAC